AACGACATCCTACAATACGTCCTAAGTAACAATATACAGAGAAATAAATTATCTACTACTAAGCACCTCTCGCATGCACCATTTATACATCTCTTTTGCATTGTACATCCACGTGGACGATGCAATAAATTCTTTACTTCTTCACATTTTACTCGTCGCGTGCAAAGTTGTCTTCGGTTGCGTGTCAATAAGAAATTATACAATAATTTTTAATCCCCTTTTTTTCTTTCCTTTCTTTTTTTGCACTAACACGACCCGTTGCACTCGTCGTACGTGTACTCGACAAGGACACACAGCTTCCCGTTGGAATTTCAACCGGTTCGAATGAATACTTAAAATAGTACATATATATATATCGTTTAAATTGTTCGTGAAAAATTGATCAAGGCACGTCGAAAAGCCAACCGGAATCGTGTGTTCACTCTCGTCTTTGTTTTTATAAACTACAAAACGCTCGTAGTCTTCTCTTTCTATACAAAATAAAAAAAAAAAAAGAAAAACAAGAAGATACGCGCGCGCACGCTTGCGCTGCTCGGTTTATTCCACTTGTAAGAAGTCCTTTTCACGTAGAAACGCTAACATAAAATACATAACTTCTAATAACCGTTGTCGATGCTATGTTACAAAGAAACGTACAGGTTTGTTTTTTTTTCCTTTTATTCTTTTCAATTGACTAGTTACAAAAAAAAACACGTTCACGAGACGATCCCCTCCCTTCCCCTCCCCGCCGGCCCGGTCCTCTTTATCCTTCTTTCTCGTGCAAACACACACATACACACGCACATGTTCACGTGTTTCCTTCGATTTCCCTTGAACGACACAAGAAGCAACCCTGGTGTGCTGGGGAACATTTCTCGCTTCTGTTCCCTTCCACTTTCTACAATCACTTCTTCTTCTTCCCAAGGCACTTATCAATGGCACGGTAGTAACATGTACAAAAAAAAAAAAAATGGACGAATGACGAAGAGAAAAGAATCTTCACAAGATTCTTTTATCTATTCGTGTTAATATTTTATTGCTTTGGCCGCGAACCACAGGTTCAGGTGTGCACCAAAGTCTTCGTTAAAACGTACGCAAAACCTGAGTAACATTCGAGAATCTCGTTTCGCCGGTACGAGCGCAATTTAACTCGTTTACATTATTTAACAAAAGATCGTTTCATAACGATCGTATTACGGTCGGACTCGATATATCCCCCCAGGATGTAAGGATAACAGGAAAAATAAATACATTGTTCCTCTAGTAAGAAAATCAGTCTCCATTGAAGGCCGGAGTTTTTCTCTTCCTTGATCGATTTTATTCCTTATCTTCTTCCTTTTTCTTCTTCTTCTTCTTTCTTAACTCTACGGAATACGCGCTAAACAGGTCAATACTGATTTATATTATTATTTGGCGTGTTCGCTAGGTCAGTCGATCGACTTCCGTTCACATCTATCTTCTTTCTTATCTTCGTTCGACTTCGACTAATCTTCATCATCACCTTCCTCTTTTTCTTCTTCTTCTTTTATCTTCGTTCGTTGTTCCTTCTTTAAGTTTCCTTTTTTTCGTGGAAGTTGTACAAAGTCTTCGGTGAAAACCGATCGTTCGCGGGATTCTCATAGTAGATAAGGGAACCTCTCTTCACCTTCGTCGTCTTCGGCTTCGCTGGACTCTTGGCTGGAGGGCGGCGTGTCCAGCTGCGGCAGGCCAAGGTCCAAGTATTCCTGAAACGAGGAAAGGCGAGGGTGTGCTTAATTTTTTTATTCGATTATTTTATTTATTATTGAATTATATTTATCGTTACATGTATTATTTTACGAGTATGAAACTGATACAGACAGAGAGCAGGCAAAATCCTTTTTTTTTTCTTTTTTGGGTTTCTTTTTGTTTGCAATTATGTAATTCGTTTTTGAAAATTCTTAAGTGAAATATTTCTTGGAAATTATTTATTACTCTTTGAGGAAACGATGCAAGAGAGTTGTGAATGAAATTTGGAAGTTTATAGGAATTTTTGTTTTATTTGTGAGAAGTGGTGTTTCACCTCGTTCGCAGTTATCGTTAGTATCCTATCGAGATCTTCGACCAGTTCCCCAAACATAGGTCGTTCGTTGGGCTGGTAACTCCAGCAGTCCCTCATTAACATGTATCTGTAACGCATAATTCACAATTTGATTATTCATCGTGACGTATGAGCAAATTATTCTTCTTTCAATATTATTCTTTAAACACGTTTACTATGTCGTAATCGTATTGTAGATGCTGAATTCGCCTCTTAAATCCCCATAAAAGTTACTATATCGATGATACAAGTACCGTGTGACATTTTATAAAATCTCCTGGAAAAATGAATTT